AACAAGTCAAACAATATTTTGAAACCCTCTCCTTCTTCAGTCTCCAAAATGGGAAACTCACTTATCAGGGTACGCTTTAGCTCATCCAGGCTCCATAGCATTTCAGGAACAACACAAGGCATCGACATGGTGCTAAACAATTTCCAAATTGAGCTGAAAGGTCTTCCCACCGCAACCAGTCAATTCACAGGTGTGAAACATGTCACACACAGGGAAACAGGTTGGGAAAACAATGGGTCCAAAGAGACAGGTCTGGAGTACGATGGATTCATGGTATAGGTATTTTTTGTGAATTTGGGTAACTTGGAGCTAGAATGCTGCCTTGAACATGGTGCATGTCTACATATAAATTTAGGGATAAACAAATGTATTATTTAAGCAAAATATGAATGTAGATATATATATATATTGTACTAACTATATATATATTATCATAAAATATTGTAAAATATTATATCATATTATATCATATTATATCATATTATATCATATTATATCATATTATCTATTCTATTCTATTCTATTATATTTTATCATATTACGTTATTTTATATTATATTTATTTAAATATGTTTTTATCATTAGTATTTGGCATTATATATCAAATTATATTATATTACATTATATTATAGTTGTATTGTATCGTAAATTAATTAAATCATATTATAGAATATTATAGTGTATATTAAATTATGTTGTATCATGTTATATTATATTATATCATATTATATTACATGTATGCGTGTGTGTGCATCATTCCGCAAAATCTGTAACTGATCTATTTAATTAAGGTGGCTTCCGATGGTTACAGGGATGAGATGAGTCATGAATCCGGTAACTGAGCTGCTCGGAATTGATTTTCTCACTTCATATCCTTCATTTTCCGGTGGCAAATTATTCACAAATCTATGCGTATTATAATATATATACTGCATCTGTCTATGCAAGTATGTGTGTGTGTTTTGTATGTGCTTATTTATTTACATAGTTGTGTATTGGCCCTGAACATTCGGCGCCTCCAAATTCATTGGTTTATCATCAAATCAATTGTCATTTGCTTAATGGCCATATCTAGGGGTATGCCCCATTTTCAGACAAACCCATAAAGCATACCCATCATATTCCATATCCCCATCATATCCACCTCGAAGGTTTGTTGATGGCAAATTCCATACAATGATGCAATATGATACAATTCATCATGTAGAAAAATGGGCATGGGTCAAAATTGGGTACCCCAACAACTAGATGATTAATAATTGGCATGCCCAGACTGGGTATATCATAATGATTAATCATAAGTACAATTGGTACCTAGATTGGTACCACAATTGGGTACACCAACAACTAGAAAATATGATATCTGTGGTCCCAGAGGGCCGATCCCCTCAGACTGACCTCCTCCACTATCTGTACCAAAGCCAGGGCATGGGACCTGACGCGCTGCGAACGTTCGCATGCCTTCAATGAAGGTTCGGCTGATAGCTAAGCTATCGTAGCCTCACCAAAAAAAAACGTAAAATCCTATAGGAAAATGGTGATTGGATGGGTTTTGCAATAGTTTTGCCTATGAAACATGATGATTTCATGGGTTTTAGTTTAGATGAGAACCCAATTATAAATCAATAAAGGTTTTAATGGGAAATTAACCTATAAGACATGTGCTACCCCGAAATGAACAGATTCAATATTTAACAAAGTGTTTTAGGTTGAGGAGGTCTAACCTTACGGGATTGTATAGATTCTTACCAATTTCAATTCTAGCAGGAGCTGACTTTTCTATGCATTGGATTGCATTGGGGGCTGTGCCCTCCAGTCAACCATAGCTGACTGGAAAATCCCTTCTGAAATCAGGTTTTTGATCGGGAAAACATCGGCAAGAATGAAGAATTTTCTAGCCAGGTTGGATCGAAGGTATTTGGGGGACATATGGTGAAATGGTTCCAACAGATTATATACAGTATATACATATATTATATGTGTGTGTATTGTATGTATATGTGTATGCATATGTAATTATATACGTATATAAATAATATATATATATATATAAATAATTGGATGAATTGTGTGAACTTTCCCCAGCAGTCTCGATTTGCAGCGGGACTCAGTGAGCTCTCCTAGACCCGAGCAGCCCAGTATCATCCCAGCGACCCAAAACCAAAATCACTGGGGAAGAAGTCCCTTACCCTCTGGTCATTTAACATAGCTATCGACAATTTAAAATTGCCTATTTATAGTTGATTTACCTATTGAAGATGGTGATTTCCCATAGCTATTCTAGTTTACCAGAGGGTATTCCTGGGCTTATCCTGGGGCATCACCCGACCAATTCCTAGGCAGGATGGTAAACATAATCATGATATGATTCTACTGTTTCAGGAATGCTTCAACTGAACCTTGCAAAAATATATATATATTATATGTCCACATTACTCTTATATGTGTCATGGGCAAATAATGGTATATCTGGTCATTCATCGCACAATGGGTTACTGGATTGCTGAACATCCCCAAATAATATCGGTATATAAATGGTATATCTTCCATTCTCATCCAATAGTTGGATATGTCTAATTTTATCCCATAAAATACCCATTGATATCCCATTGGGACGGTCCAAGTTGGTATCATGGGCCTGCGCCCGGCCTCACCAAAGCATGTACGGAATCTTCTCGCAGCAGGTGATTCACCAACTTGCAGAACACCTCTTTTGTCAGCATGGCAACATCGGTAGGCTGTAATATATAACCGTATATATATATATATAACGACTTGTACTACCCCTACTATATATATATACGTTTCCCATATTGTTGCCGGAAGGATCCTAGAGGAACAAACCATATATAAGAATGTGTCGGTATATTGCCTCAAGACAGTGGCATCCTCTGCAAGGTTTCCCGTGAATCACCACGGACCAAAACTCAGTGGATGTCCGAAGCCACTAGGTAGGTGACTAGCTGGTCACCTAATGGTTACAGGAAAATCCAAAACTAAATGATCTAAATGGCTCTAAAGCTCCAGTCAAACTCAGACTAAGAGCCTGCATCTGTGCTCACATTCGTACATGAGTCTGACAGAACTGCGAGATGCTAAAACGAATGGTTGATGGATGAACTGTAGTCCAAAGCGCTGCCCTTGGTGGGTAACGATTGGTGACCCTTTCAGACCAGAAGATTCCCTGAAATAAACCACTGTAAGCGGAATATTCGGATAGTGTTCTGGACGGTTCTGGATTCGTCTAGCAATCCATCCGCCCATTTGGCTGCATGATTTTTCCTGACAAAACTGATGTTTCCAAGCCCCTTCAGCTCGGAACAGATTCTCCAAAAATTGAGTTTGAGCGGCGATCTATTCTTTCGAAGAAACTGCCACAACAGAGTTCTATAGTCATATTATCAGCTAAGTCTTTTGACCCATTTATATTTCATATTTGAGAAAACATTCAAGTGTATAGTTTACAACAACCATTCTATCCCCAAAATCTGTCGAATCGAATAAATATATATAATATAAACATTCTGAATGCTTTTTTGAAAAACATGATCTAAAATACTCTAAAATGGGCAACAAAAAATGTTGAACAAAATAAAATGATCTATATAATTCTAAAATGGATAGCAAGAAAAGAACAAAGACATCAAATCTTGACTACGGAGCCAGGACCGAGTCGCTAGGCGCGCTTGACATTGCAGCGCATCCTCTGCAGCAAGGTCCAGTTTCTTCAGATCTTCGGCCTGCATGGGCCGCAACCAAATTTTGGAGGCTAGGGACGTAATAAAACGTGGCCATGATTTACGTTCCGGGAATTTCACAAAGCTATGGAAAAAAGGATGAACATTTTAAATGGCCCATGTATGATTCACTCATTTCAAATGATTCTCCATAGCCATAGCTATATTCAAATGACCAAGGGGCAACCAGTGACAAAATTTGGGCTTTCTTGTTCATAATTTGATTTAACATGATTTGCAATAACGACGAACCAAAATTGGACCATTTTTGGGATAATGTTGGATTTCAATAGATTGCTTTAAGGGGAGATCCGCGGGCGGGAAACCTACTGGTTCACATCAAATATGGGGTGTTCCTGTAAAGTTTACCTTAAACCAACCCAACAATCCCATCAACCTGGCAGATTCACCGGACAATTTTCTGCTGGATGCGCGAGTAAAAATTGTAAGTTAGAATCTGGTTGGTGGTTTCAACCCCTCTGAAAAATATTAGTCAGTTGGGACGACTATTCCCAATATATGTTCCAAACCACCAACCAGGAATGATATGACAGGGAATTGATCAGAATTGAATTGCGCGGCATTCACCAAGTACTTTACCACCACAAAGATGCATCCAACATAGACGATCAAGGGATACTGCAATTCCATCAGCAAAATAGAAATGGCATGAAATGGCTATGGCACTCATGATAACAATCAAAAGAAGCCATTTTCAACTATCGACAACCTCAAGCAATGAGGGTTGCATTTGAGGGGTAAAGCCGTAAAGCTTCATTAGTTTTGAAACCTATTGGGCATCCTTAGCTCAGTTTGAAACTGTGCAGGCTTTGATTTCCTCATATCCAACCAGCAGCTGCAACCATTTTTGCAAGCGAGGGTGGCAGTTCAGAAAAAGTGTGTCCATCTGCTGAAGAGCAGTTGGCGAAAGAACCTCCGACTGGAACCAATCCATTCTCAAAAAAAAAACAGTTACTGCTGTGGGATCATCTATAGGTGCACATGGACATACACAAACAGTCCAGCGTGTTTGAGAAACCACCAAATCAACGTGTGAGCCTGACCATGGTCCACCAACTGCTGGCAACAAACCGTACGAACTCCGAAAACCATTTGAAGCCCGTGTGAACGGGGCTGAAAAACACGGACAGTTGGGTCCGTGAGGAGAAATCATAATACCACAATCATTTCGAGCTGAATGACAGCCTGCACAATGTCTCCCGCATCCGGCAGGTTTGAAACACATATTCTCCGTGTTTTATTGTCCCTTTATTGTCCAGGCCACCACAGCTCCGTGGAAAACCCGAAAACCCGGTGCTTCATCGAAGTTCAAACATGGAGCTGTTTGGAGCGGGAGAGCTTCAATGAGCAACGGGCAAACCACCTAGGACGGACCTAGGTCTCACAACATGGAGGTCACTGCGCGCAAGCGTCACAAAATGATACAAAATGTACATATAGAACATCCATGAAGACCTCGCATTTGCATTCTCTCTTGGGGGAAAAACGATCCGAATCCGGATCAAAAAAAATGGACACGTGATGTGCAGTGGGCCCTGGCTCGGGCTTGGACAGGTAATGGTGGCTTGGGAAACCCACCAAACCACCCCTCACCAGAGGTTATTTGGAAGCCGCTCAGAGCTTGAACTGAAGGGAAACGTTGATAACTTTGGGGTTTTTCACTGTTTTGGGTAACACCAATGATGGACAATCGGATAATCCCATCATCATTTGGCAGTGTGTCAAAACCTTGTACCCCTGGTGAACATCAAAATAGCTGGTAAATGGATGTTCATTCCCCTAAAAATGGTATTAATAGGTATTGATCCATACCCAATTTAAAAATTGGAGGTCTACCATTGAAAAAACAACTCCGATCGCCCATGGACGGCCCTGGATCGCCAGGCGACCTAGGCCACGCTGAGCCCCAGAGCCTGCTGACCCAGGACGCCAGCCACACCCAGGAAGTAGCCAGCCAGCGCCGCCTGGAGGATGGAGGTCAGCTGAAATTGAAACTCAAAGGCGCTATGTTCTTAAAAAAAACCTAAATTTCAGAAGGCCGCAACTAATACTTAACTTAGATATATCACAGGTTTGAATCAGATGATGACTCGACTTAGCTAATCTGTGAGCCCTGTGTTGAAGTGAAGTTTTTGTGAACACATGTACTGAGAGCACTTGTATGATTGTGGTATTGCTCAGTCATCGCCCACTGGATCCCCGAGTTGGCCTCAGAAGTATTCGTCAGTCAGGTCACGTCTATAGATGAAACATGATGAAACTGGATAATGTTGGATGAAGGGCTGAAATTATTATGTTGAAACATAGAGTCCAAACCCTGCAACTATCAAATGTGTGGAAAATCCAGACAGGCAATCCTAGAATTTGTTTCAGGCATTTTATATATGTATATACATTATATAAACATGTATATGTATATATACATACAGATGGTGAAACCCATGGTTCCCCAGGAATTCTCCTACCAAAAATGGCTGAGTAGTTGAGGAACCCGTGTAGCACCTGGGAGCCACATCCAACTGCCAAGCCGCTGGTCCAATGCTCTTCACATACCAGCCGAAGGACACATTGCGCTCCATGCCTCATTCGGGGGCCGACTTGATGGGGGATCCCCAAGGACCCAAGGATCCAAGAATTCAAGGGATTTGGGGTGGTACACCTCGCTGCCATGGAAGAGGTTGCCGGTAAGTCAAAATCGCCTGAGCTTTGCTTCATTGTTGTTGGCTTGGTGTCATCCTCGTCATTATCAGCTTGACTCGGTGCTACGAATGGAACATACTGACGTACCATCTGCCGGGCCAGCGGCTGACCGGGAGACCACGCTTGACCATGGCTCAATGGCGCCATTTGATGGCATTTGCCCTACAGATTTCCACAGAATTTCCCTTGGTGTACTGGCATGTTGCGGGATGTTGGCTTCTTCCTTGCATGATCCTCCATTGGATCTCCTTCCGCGCACACCGGATCACGCCGGGGCAGTTTGATAAACTTGAGAACCAAGCTCCATATTGAGTGCTGTGTTTTCTTTTTGGGCATATGGAAAAAATTACCCTAGTCTCACACTGCTCTGTAAAGGATACTTGTCAGTGCACCTGTCCTGACTCTTTATTGTATGCAGTTCCTCCTCATTGTGCACTGCTGACGCGTAGTCAGCGTAGTCCGTAATGCTTTGTGGACGGATCGCAGTGATCGCAGGATCGCATTTCCCATGACCAAAAAAAATATGGGGAATGATTCTTGATGTTGAGGGAATCCCAATTTCAAATTCTAATGCTTGGCGTACCCTCCGGTTATTTAACGTAGAGATGGAACATCAAATGTTTGGTAAATCATCATAAGCCATCTATAAATTAGCCATCTATACTTAGCTACCGTAAAACAAAGAAAAACGCGGCCTCCGGCAGGGGTCAGAAACAAAGCATCAGCCTTGGCCCAGACTGGGCTTAGTTCACCTAAATCTGCTGGTTCTTCAGTTCTTCATCCTGTTCATTCATTTTGCTATTTGAGGATGTGTACTCCATTTTCAGACACATCCAGTGATGGGCTGTATTAGTTGCAGATGGGGTTCTCGATACCACTTAAGACTTAAGATGAACCAACCAACGGACCAACCCACCCTCACCTTTGTGCTACAAATGGATGGATGTCTGACCATCCTGTAGTAACTACAGTAGATGTTTTCTGAATTCAATTGTTCTACCTTCCAACACGGAGAAACATTAGTGGTGACGATATTTATTCTTCGAAAACTAAACTTGTTTGGGAGAAACCCTTGTTTTTGATGGTTCTATGCCCATGCGTGCAAATTAAATCATAAACATCCCTCAGGGGGCCCATGTTTGTCGCTCTAGATTCCAATTGCCAAGAAGTGGATCCCCATGTTGGTCAGCAGAAAATCCAAGTTTTGACGGTTAGCTCTCATTCGTGGCCGGCAAACGAATGGCAATGTTTGTGAAATGTCCCATCTTTCAGTCTTTCACGGCTAGAAAAAAATGTGTTTGATGACCGTAGACCGTAGATTCCGTAGATGATAATCAATTTTGATGATGCTTCAACTTTCCTGTCCCGTTGGATAAATTGTTTCATCACTAAATCCCCATTTGGATGTAACCTTTTAACTTCCGGTAAAATTGCACCTTTTCACCAGGATTCAACCATTGGTGACAGTTCCAACATCCCGTGTTTTTTTTCGTTAAATTCCAGTTGTTTCTTTGAATCTCTATGTTGGTTGACATTGTTGGATGTTTAATGGTAAAACCGTTCAATTTCGCATGTTGAATGGCAAGTGAAGTGTCTGCAAACATCATCAAATGTCCGCTTTCCATGGGTCACATTCCCATAAACCATCATAAGCCCAAAAAAATCTCAAAATTTCCCAAAAGGCAAGCTGGTAAACTCTCCATGTTTCATCATTTTCCCCTAACCTCTCCTCCCGTTGCAGCCATAGCCATTCCAAGCTGCCCATGAAGGCCACGCCCGCTGCAGAGCCAATCACTAGGAGTGAGCCGCCCGTGGCTGCGCAGTAGGTGATGAGGTTCCAAAGACCGTCGTTGGCCTCAGTGATCCGACGGAGATTCCAATGGTTGGCGGCTGAAAATATGGATTTCATAGATTTCATGTGGGTTTTAACCAGCAAATTGAGGATCTAACATAATACACATAACATATCAAAAATGATGGAAATTGTGGATTTTCGATTTCGGTGGGTTGGTGATGTTGGGAAAAATCGATTCGGAAACCATAGTGACAGGGCGGTACATGTTCCCTTGAACCAATCCATTGAGGCACGGGTCATGTTTTGTGTTCTGGTTTGTGGCTCTTAGAACTCCCACAAAGATGTAAAAAGGTTCAATTTATCACTATTTTAGTAGGAAATAGTAGGAATGTATTGTTAAAAATCTTTTTGGGGGGTTGCTATATATGACCCATCCCAAAAATATGCTCGTCATCTCAACCAATCATCGCAAGTATGGTTACCAATATAATATAACTGTTAAACTCCCAACCAGTTTTTCCCCCACCTCTCTCTCTCTCTCTGTATGTTTTTCCATATCTTTTAGGGAGATTTCACCAAAAATGGGGATGAAGCCAATGGAAATAGGATGTAGCATGATGTAACTTAGTCAAAATTGGTGTGTTATGTAAGCCTGCCAAAGTAGAGATCTTTACGGATTTGACCAGCCCGATTTAGGGGAATTATGGGGATGAGGATGATGCCGAACTGGGATGAACTGAACCAAAAAAAAAAACAAGTATTTAGCACGATGTACTCAGTAAAATTTGGGAAAGGTTCTGATGCCTTCAGTCCCGTACAGCAAGCCAGGAAGAAAAGGAATATCTTATGATTTTACCCCGAACCGGCCACAAATAAATATATTCCAAATATTGCTTAAAATGATGAGTCTGTCATAGTCTGTCTATTATCTTGGCTGGATGACAAATAACATTCCACAAGCTCATTTTACCATCTGGAAAGCTAACATAGCTATGCAAAATCACCAGTTTAAGTAGGTAATTTAAATCATGTGTAAACATGGGGTCCATTACTTCCGTAGCAAACTTAGTTTACCAGAGGGTAATTCCCATTCATATCACCATTTTTGTTAGTTGAATCCCCATTGATCACCATAAAATCCGTTAGTTCTCATATAAATCACCATTCATTAGATTGGTTTACGGGAAATTTTACAGGAAACCCCCATATTTCATGGTAAAAGCCATGGTTTCCTGTAGATTTTCCCTTAAACCAATCCAATGAACCATCGTCTTCAGATACTGACGACACGGTATCAATGGCACAATGGGATCACATGGGATGAGCTCATCAAGCTGCCCAGGCTGCCCAGGCTGCCCAGGTGCAGGATGCGCATCGAGCTCATACCTGGGCAGCGATTTCCCAAAGATATGAAAAGATTCTTTGAAATCCACGTGACATACCATGATAAAATGATGCCAAAAAATATTATATAAGTCGATTTCCTAGCATTCAGGTGTTGTCTCGTTACTTTCAGGTTTCGTGTTTTGAAGTGCGCAACAGTAACCATAACCCAATATCTGTTCCACAGGGTCTTTCATGTTCTGCCTTGGTGGCACATTTGCACCCACACTGGAGAAGTAATGCGAGGTTTCATGTGACTTGATGCTTGTCAGAAACAAGCCAGCTGAGCCGACAGCAATAGGTTTGGCACCTAACCGAGCATTAGCAGAGAATGCAAAACACTTTACAAGTCAACCAGCGAAGCATTTCAGCTCACAATCATTTTGCTGACAAGGGTTTTGGCGCAACCGCAGGCAATCATACTGATGCAATCCTCTCAGTCCTTCTTGGCGCTCGGACATCTACATTTACATCCTTGTGGCTATCTTCGTTCTTTGACTGGTGCCGGCAACCCCCTGGCACAGGCATACCACCGCGCCCCGGCGCCCCGGCGCCCCGGCGCACAGCTCTCCAACCACCGGGCCTTCTTTTAAGACACTTTCTGAGCCAAGACAAAATTTTCTAGGAGGCACAGGCTTGCATTTGGGTCTTGGACATGTTGCCTTTGCCTGTGCAGCTGACACCACCAAACTTGCCACACCAGGAACCTGTGGCTGCATCTTTGCTGCGGCATTGCTTCTCCCAAACCAGGGACAGACAAACGCCTTGGACCCAATCACCACACAAAAGAAGGGGGATGGCTTTGGCTAAACCACCATCCTTGTTTTTCAACGTCCAAAATGCCGAAAAAAATCGACAGGTATCTATTTTATTTTATTTTGCCCAAAATTCCCGCAGAGATATTTTGCCAAAATATCTTGCAAGATATTTCGCCAAAATCTCATGAACGATACTTTGCCAAAATATCCCGAAAGATATTTTGCCAAAATATTCCGAAAGATATTTTGCCAGAATATCCCACCAGATATCTTGCCAGAATATCCCACCAGATATTTTGCCAGAATATCCCGCAAGATATTTTGCCAGAATATCCCGCCAAATATTTTGCCAGAATATCCCGCCAAATATTTTGGCAAAAATTTGCCAACATATCCCACAAGATATCTTGCCAAAATAGCCACAAGGATCCTTAGGAGACAATCTGCATCACCCCTTGCTGGTTCACATCAAAAGTCTTCCAGGGGCGATGGTTTCACCCGGACCATCACCCTCTGAACGGGTGCCAGCCATGATAAAGATAGCTTTCAAAGCAATGCACAGTTGCAGTTTGCTGTCTGGCATTCGGAAAACCTGTTAAAACACATTTTCGAGGGTGATATGATGACAACATACCTCACGCTGTCAGCTTGTCCATCTGTCAGGGGACGATGGTTTCACCCGGACCATCACCCCTGGAAACTTTCTGGTTCGGACCCCAAAAGGGCGATGCAGATTGTCTCCTAAGGATCCTTGTGGCTATTTTGGCAAGATATCTTGTGGGATATGTTGGCAAATTTTTGCCAAAATATTTGGCGGGATATTCTGGCAAAATATTTGGCGGGATATTCTGGCAAAATATCTGGTGGGATATTCTGGCAACATATCTGGTGGGATATTCTGGCAAAATATCTGGTGGGATATTCTGGCAAAATATCTTTCGGGATATTTTGGCAAAGTATCGTTCATGAGATTTTGGCGAAATATCTTGTAAGATATTTTGGCAAAATATCTCTGCGGGAATTTTGGGCAAAATAAAATAAAATAGATACCTGTCGATTTTTTTCGGCATTTTGGACGTTGAAAAACAAGGATGGTGGTTTAGCCAAAGCCATCCCCCTTCTTTTGTGTGGTGATTGGGTCCAAGGCGTTTGTCTGTCCCTGGTTTGGGAGAAGCAATGCCGCAGCAAAGATGCAGCCACAGGTTCCTGGTGTGGCAAGTTTGGTGGTGTCAGCTGCACAGGCAAAGGCAACATGTCCAAGACCCAAATGCAAGCCTATGCCTCCTAAAAAATTTTGTCTTGGCTCAGAAAGTGTCTTAAAAGAAGGCCCGGTGGTGGGAGAGCTGTGCGCCGGGGCGCCGGGGCGCCGGGGCGCCGGGGCGCGGTGGTATGCCTGTGCCAGGGGGTTGCCGGCACCAGTCAAAGAACGAAGATAGCCACAAGGATGTAAATGTAGATGTCCGAGCGCCAAGAAGGACTGAGAGGATTGCATCAGTATGATTGCCTGCGGTTGCGCCAAAACCCTTGTCAGCAAAAAGATTGTGAGCTGAAATGCTTCGCTGGTTGACTTGTAAAGTGTTTTGCATTCTCTGCTAATGCTCGGTTAGGTGCCAAACTTATTGCTGTCGGCTCAGCTGGCTTGTTTCTGACAAGCATCAAGTCACATGAAACCTCGCATTACTTCTCCAGTGTGGGTGCAATGTGCCACCAAGGCAGAACATGAAAGACCCTGTGGAACAGATATTGGGTTATGGTTGCTGTTGCGCACTTCAAAACATGAAACCTGAAAGTAACGAGACAACACCTGAATGCTAGGAGATTGACTTATATATATGTGTGTGTGTGTATTATATATATAGCCCAAACAATGCCATATAAGCGAACATTTTTATCCGTGGATTCGCTGGTCCGTGACGACGCCTTACGCGTTGCGTAAAATCTGCCAGAGGACATGCCCTGAGCAGCGGCCACCAATGGCACATTGTCCACCACCGCGGATGCGAAACCAAGGAGGATGGCCACAATCGCATCATAAGGCACCTCGCTGTGGGAGGAACGAAAAAAGGCCATGGAAAATCCGCAGGAAAATCAGCAGGTAAATCATCTATTCATATCTATTCAAGCGCCATTCTCCATAGCTCTGCGAAATTACTAAAGGGAAAATATTGAGATGATTTGAGATGTACATACCCTGGGTGACTGGTTGCAGCATGACTCATGACCATATCCACTCTTGGTGATGAATCCATGTTTATCTCCACCTGCGTCGGCACAGCAAGCCGGTGGGAAGCGTGAAGAAAAAACCTCCCACAATTTCCATATCATGTTCTTAAGTTACCCATAGGATCCATGTATGGTATATATGCTAACATTGGGGGTATATTGATGGTAAATGTTACCATATATAGCATACATGGATCCTATGGGTTATGGTATGCTCATGTTGATGTGATTCATTCCATGGTCAGTCATGTTCATTGGTGTTCCTCCATGGTTCCATTCATCTTTTGTCGTAGGTTCCATGCAGAATGGATAGCGAGAAAACGCGCCCAAACAAGTCCTTTGTTGGATGTGGCATTGGCAAAATGATTCATGATGATTCATGCATATTGATGCCCAAATCCAAAGTCAATGATTTCATGTCAATGCTCAATGTCACTCAAGATAACAATGCCGTGGTAGCATCCAGGCTATAGTTTTCTCATGTTTTCTCCATCATGGGATGGATCCTTGATCTGCTACTGGAACGTCCATAAACACCAGCTATGTCTTTATGATTACCATGCCTCTATCAGTTTCCTGTCCTTTGCCCATGCGCCGGGCTCCAAGGAGACACAGCTGCTTTGGTTCAGATGATTTGCTGCCCTTCACCAACAAAACTAGGGATGCAACCAACAATTGGGGGTTTACCATGATTGGTGAGACTTCCTGAAGCTCTCCCAGTAATTACTTTTTTCCCCTCATACCAAATTTGATCAATCTGGGTTTATCCCCCCAAAAAAATAGATTTAACCCCAGTTCATGAGACTTCTAGGGAAAGTGAGGCTTTTCAACCCATTTTCCCCATTCAAAAAATGAGGTTTTCACCAAGGTCCCAGGGGTTTAAGATCCCAGGCACCAGCGCGCTGAGCTGCACGGCGAACTCCTTCAGCAGACCCACGCGTTCCAAGCCGCCCACGGCGAAGAGGACGCCCAGGAAGAACAGGGCGTCCGGAACCTACCCGTTGTTGTATGACCTGGTCTATATTATATATATAATTATATATTGTATCGTATAGCTTGCATGTGTATGTATATATATATATAGCACTTGTGTGTGATAGGTATATGTATATTAATGTGTGTATGCACATGTGTCTATATAATTATGATGAGTTATATGTATGTTACAGTATATATGTATATTATGTGTAAGAAGGCAATACAACCCCCAGATCGTAGATTACAGTCCAAGCTCAATAGTCGAATGGCACCAAACTCCCAAGCTGTCAATAAGGCGGGCCCGAGCCATGCTTCTGCGCGGATGTTTGCTGTATGTAACACCAGCCACCCCGAGCTTCTTATGTTTTTCCTGGCTCCCCAGCCGCCAAAAGGGGGGCCCGATAGATAGTGAGACACTGTGCGTGTGATTGTGTATAATCTTGATATATCTTGATCATATGTGATGATAAACTTAGCATACAGCATAAACATAAATCATGATAATTGCTCTAGTCATAAATGGCCAGCATATGAATTATAATATGACATTTCATCAATCCCAGACTTGATTTTGCATGATATGAAATGATCCCACACCCCTTTAGAAATGAATTCCCCTCTGTGTGGCTTGAAAACAAAAAGATCCCATTCTGAGCCTGTGTCTTTTTGAGTGGTATAGTTACCATGGATTCTAAGGCCATCACAATTATGGTTCCTCCAGGGGTTCAAACACATTTCTGAGAAGAAGTTCGGTTGCACATTTCTGCGCCTCCACCCGTGTGAGGGCACCCTTCAAGGAGTATTTCCTTGGCAGCTGTTGGCCAGAAGCGGTGTAGAAGCACTGCCCGCCCAGAAGACTAAAAAATTATTGATTTTATTGGTTATTATTTTATATAGATTGGTTCAAGGGAAACCACTACCTACCAGAAACCTTGGACATTGAACATGAGGGGTTCCTCTATTTTTCCCCTTAAACCACGTCCAGGAAGCATGGAACCACCGGAAAGCATGGCTTAGGAAGCCATGACTTCCAGGTTGTTCCTGGATTGATTCCCCGCAGGGATGGAGACCCAACACGGGACCCAGCACTTGAGGCCGTCGCTCATCTTCAGGACCGTGGAGAAGAGAAGTGATCCTGGGCTCTTCGGGGATTTCAGCCCAAGACCCAGCTTCTAGCCATTCTAGCCATCTTCCATTGGATATTAATATGGATAGCAAATATCCTCCATCATCCTCCAAATATGGATATTCATGGATATTCATGGCATATTTGCCTGCATTTAGGTTGATCGAGAGTTCAAAGTGTACTTATGCCACAGCTTCAGGTATGGATGTGGTGTACCCCAGCACCATTCCAGGCCACTGTTCTCTGACTCTGAAACCGGCAGTTGATCAACTGTTGACGGAAACCACAGGACTTAGCGAATGCAGTTGGATAGAGTTGCAGCTCTGATTTCACCCTATCCCTGTGCGGGACATTTTCGGGCATAATGGGAGAGGGTCAAATAATACTTTCAGGCCACACCCGAGATGCCAATTGCTCAACAATGTTCTTCCGCTCTCTCTCACCATCTCTCACCCTGTCCCGGCTGTGTGAGGAAGCGAGAGCTGAAAGAACAGAGCATGTATCAATCAAAAACACGTGAACACCATCCAACTCATTCCAAGTTGGTGATTTTGAAATGACACTGGATTCACTGGATGACCCCTTCTTCCAGAATTGAAAGCAATGACTAGCAGCCAAGGTACAATCCCAAGAGCCCCAGGACCAGCATCATGCCGCTCCAGGCAGGGCATTGCCTTGGCTATGTTTTTTTTGTTGCGCGAGTCAATTCATGGCCTTGGGTAAAGTGTGGGTCATGACGGTCATGTGCAAATGCCTCACTGGGAATGATGGGAATGATGGGAATGTTGGGACAAGTCTGGTACCATCCAGTACCATGACCTGCAAAGGGCGCCCGGCCTCTGGGGATCCCTGATTTTGGTGAGACCAAAAGCCGCCCAATCACATATGGCGACCGGGCATATCAAAAAAATGTCAAAAGGATTCAAAAGGTGGAAACACCACAAAACGCCATCAATCATCACAAACCTCACATCAGTCATAGATAACTATCGCCATCTATGGCCATCTATGGCCATCTATGGCCACCAGGCTGCGTCAGGGCTGTGAAGACCGGCACGGTGATCATTCCGAAGAGCCCACCCCAGAAGACTACGGCCTGACCTTGGATGCTGGAAACATATGGAAACATCCTCTGGTGGTGGTCCTCTTATGTCCTGACGCTCTCATCAAAAACGGAAACTCATATTGGGGATAGATCATTGAAACAAAACTGCAGGTGAGGCAGGGGAAGAAACAATATTATATGATGATGATATTTTAGAATCGCTTCATGAAAGTAGATTATATGATATGTAATGTAATTAAATGATTCACATCAGCTACTAAATTTCTTTCAATTTCCAGTTGTCACGTTTGACAGACATGGGGATGGGCAAGCCACGGAAGTTTGTGCACCAACTCTGGCATAAAACCAGCTGCCAACAATGTACATACAGCAAATAGCGCACCCCAAAGTATTTAATTGCATTCGGCAAGCCCGCCGGCCATAGAGAGGTGGCCCCAAGGGAGTTCTAGGTGGAAGCCCGCGAGAGAGCACAAGAGAAATAGCGCACCCCAAAATACTACACACACACATATATATATAAAGAGAAAACTAACATCTCACCAATAAAAATTGAGTTAAACCCATCTAATAGTTTAAAATACATGAGGAAAAAAAAAAAAACATCGCAATATTCCCCATCACAGTTTTTCTGTTTTCAGGTCATTTTCAATCCGAATCGGCGATCATCCCAGGTGCCATTGGGCACTTCAGCATCCTCTGCACTGGCAGGATCCCGCTCGAAGGGCTTGTCATCCATCTGGATCTGAGCGAAAAAAGGGCGATGAAGTCCGAGGACTGGCAGGGTTGACATTAAAAAAAAAATAGCCGGCCTGGAAATCAAACGTAGCACTAGAAAATCCACCATTTATAGGCTATTTTCCGTTAAAATCCAATTTAGATAGGATGTTCAATTGCTATGTTTGGTTGCCAGAAGGTATGATGCATAATGTGTGACCATCCACACCGGAAAGATCTGCTTTGTTGCCGAGGCGGTGGGAGCTATAGCATTTGTGGCGCCTGTGATTGACCCATCCCCAGACTGAGCCACAAAAAGCTGGGATCCCTCGCAGTTCATCTTGTGAAACCGCACTTTCCAAGTAGCAGTTGAAAATGGGGCGCGCATGGGATACACAAAGAATCACAAATAATATCTACAGTAGGCGTTCCCTCGTCGTCCAAAAAACTGCAGGTAGTGCTGGACCTGTTCCTGCGCTACTTGAAGGTCATCTGCACCTGAAATCTGAGTTTCTCTTGCCGCCTGGGAACGTATTCATATCCCAAAGTTCCCACCAAGCACAGAACGCTTGGAACGAAGAGATTGGCCAACAGAGGCACTGTCGTGACCTGCATCTGGTGCTGCCACATCCATGGTGCTCGTCCCCAACAGCTCATGAAACCACCAAAAATGCTCAAACGGGTTACAGTCAATTGAAAAACATGGAAAACTATGAAACGGTCATGCCTTGTTTCAAGTCCCTATGTAATTGTCGTTTTTGTCTTCCATCATTTTGTTGGATTTCCATATACATATATATATACACATACATATCTTATATATATAATATTATATATATATATATATTATACATATATCATATATCCATGTGTGTGAAGTATATATTATAATATCCATATAATATCCATGCCACTTCACACAGTGCCGTTTCATCCGTTGTTCAGCACACCTGTCCGCCGATGTACAGCATGGTAGTGGTGATGTCGCCGATCGGGGTCCAGGCACCACCCGCGTTGGAGGCGACCACCACTAAGCCGCCCAACTTCATACGGAAGTCCTCGTCCTTCCGCGGAGCCGTGAGGTTCCAGAAGTTGTCACAAGGATTGTGGGCTTACAATATATATATATATACATTATATATATACTGTGTATATATATATAAATATATATATACATAATATATCCACATATATATAGTGGGAAAAACATACATGTATAACATAATGTATGCACACACACATATATATATATATTATATTATATTCTCACATATTGGCACTGTAGATGTTAGGATTATGTATATGATCGTATACCGTATATGTATTTAAATACATGTGTGTGTGATAGAAATATGATATAATAATATATGATATGTGTACGTATATATCGGACCTCAGTATGATGATTTCACAGGAGTTGGCTGGCAACATCAGCTGTGTTCTTCCAATCAGTGTGTTCTTCCAGTCCGTGTGTGCCAAGCCTGGCTCTTCCACAATTTGTTGAATCCTATTCGAAAAATCCTTGCGTGGCTTTTCTTGATACTTGTCATTCCAACGGTATCGAAATCAAGTTTGGCGCCCGGAGGCACTCCATTCCCTTTCTCCAATGCAAGTCATCCTTTACGAGCTTCTGGAGAAGTGAAATCATCACAATGACCTGAGCATGGCTATGCAGGGCTGTAATTAGTTGTAACTCATTTCCTTGAAAGATCTTAAAAGAAAGGTGGCGATTTCCATGCCTTCATCCTTCTGTCCTTTTCCACGGAAAAATCTCCGGCTTTGGCTGTTGAAGCTGCCCAGTTGCAACGGTCAAGTTGTTGAGCACCGAGGATAAAAGGAAGGTCAGGATTCCAATGATCAGCAAGAGCTCCTTTTGAGTTTTGGCCTGGATCACCTGAGAATCCAAGCAGTGCCGTGGCATGGCCATGGCATGCTTTGGCGAAGTGCGGCTAAATATGGCTAAATATGGTTAAATGACGTTAAATGCATTCGCTTTTTTTAATCAAACGCCAATGGTTCAAAGTCTGAGATTGAATGGAGTGCACTCAAACAGACCTCTCACCGCAACAAAACTCAAGAAAAGTGCGCCAAAAACGCCAGAGGTCGCTTGTGTTTAGGGGGTAGGCACGACTTCTTACGTTAACTTCTCCGCAGCTAATTCTGGCATTCTGCAGCCCGTGGGCACGACATTGTCTGTTCCCTGTAGCCCTATAGCATCCCTTCCAGCCTTGGTGATGATGTCGAAGCCTGTCCGGAGTCCGGCTTCCCCCAGCTTTATCCAAGGGGACAAAAAGCCAACCCAGCTGAAAAATCGCTCAGAGCTTTCACCCTGAAAAGCATGGCAAAAACCACTGGTTGTCTGCCCTAGTTGCACATGGTTCTTGAAAATCATTGAAAACCCACAGATTTGTCAATGACAAGTTGGTCAACTCTCTCCATCGTCAAGTTGCTAAACTGTGATAATTAAGCCTTTTTCACCTCCATTTCAGGTCCGAAGTCCCCATTTCAGGTCCGAAAATTTCAGGGGGTCCTCTTTCTCCGGGGATCAAACCTGTGTGTTTCACACCATCCCCACACCATTCACCGCGCCTTTGTGCGCGTCCATGATCTCCACGATGGTCAAAGCACCCAGGAGGAAGAAAACCACCTACGACGGATGGGTCGATGTCAATGCCCCCCATGGTAGCCCTTAAAAAGGGCTGGCGATTGAGAGTTGCTCGGAAATCTCAAAAAAAAAACATTGTTTGTAGTCCAACATGTAAGCGTTTACCACTCGAAATTGTTGATGGGTTCTTGCTGGTTGAACGATGCCAAACCCCATTTGTTGGTTGACTCATCTCTGTCTCCCACGATCAGGCAGCTGCTTGACACGCACATCCCATTGAAAAACTATCTTTAGCTCCGATCCCCTTCGACTTCATGCATAAGCCCCCAAATATCCATATCTATTCCAAAAACCCGCATAACTACCCCAGGTATATATATATATAGCTATATTTAATTTATAATGTTATATAATCATCTTCCATCATTTTTACCCCTCAAATCATCCCCAAACATCCACAAAAAGAGCCATGTCCCACCCATCAACCCACCCAACTCCATCGCCTCGGAGACATCCTCCAAGGTCTCCTTGATGGCTGTGTCGAAGTTGGCTGCCGACATGTCCACGCCGGTGCCCACCAGGGCCCAAATCAAGACCTGGCCAGACTGCATACGGCAGTGGATAAAAAGCTGTCAAGTAAAGCTACAAAAATTTAGGGATTTACTCACAAGAAATGTAATTTGACCAACAAAGATAGCGTTTCTACCAAGTACCAATGTGTGGGGCTCAAAACCCAATGTTTGCCGGTAAAAACTCCATTCTTGCCGGTAAAATCCGAACAATTGAAAAAACAAACAACTTGTTGGTGAACAACATGTAACCCTACTTCCTGCAATTCCCATGTTTTTTTAAGATGAAGAACACATAAAAAAATATCATAAAATATCAATCACCACACCCCTGTCCCGTGCAGCCAGGGCACTCCCAGAACCAGTGCAGTGGCAGCCTTGTTGATTTCGGTTTGTTCCTCCAGCACGATGACCGCATAGCCGCCGATAAAGGTGGCAATGATGGGGAAGTACTCGTATTGGTTCCCTGGCGGATGACATCCAATTTTCTCTGAAAGTGTCGGGAATTTGATGGTTTTTTTATGGCTTAAGTGTGCTTAAATCATCTTAAACCATCTTAAATTCCTAAAATCATCATTTTCCCCATTGAAATTGTCATCCATTTGGGTATCCCCTAGTTTTCTCACAAATCCCAAATTTGGAGAAGCGGACGCGACATGACAGGACGTGAAGATGCAGTAAACCGGCTTCTGTGTAACATGAGGAACGTCAACAAACACGATTCCATCTGAAAAGCATGCAACCAATTTGTTGATAGTCCCCAACTTTGAGGGTCTATCAGGTCAGTTTGACCTTTGCTGAAAAAGGTTCATCATGGTTCATCAATTTTTAGGCGAGTACAGTTAGTACATCAATATCATCAACATCGAGTCACGCCTGTGAGGAAGGGTACATCAATCATGGCATGTTGGATGCCATACATCACTGCCAGCCAGCCGGCTAAGGCTGCGAGCACCGGCAGCACCACGCCTGTGACCTCCCCGCGCACGTCCTGGAATGGGAGTTTCTCGATAACATGGATTCCCAAAACCATAGCTTTCAATATCTTTCAATACTCAAAAAGTCTCATCTTGGATGTTCTGGGGGTAATTAGCCGACTCAGGAAACCTCCCAATCACCCCACCAGAGTCAGAGCAGTATCAAGTTGGGGGATTCCTTGGTTCTGTTGAAGCCTGTTTTGGAAAGGGCCTGTTGCTTTGGGACTCTCATGCCCTGCCACCAGCGGCAGTGTCCTCTGGTGCTGCCGTGGAGCGGCGCAACGACTTGCCACCACGGCTGGTGAGGCCCGAAACTCCTGGGGGCCAAATTACACTGCCATCTTTTCTGGTCATCCATTGGCAATGCCACTAGCATTGCCAGCCACAAGCAAGAGCCGTTGGCAGTGGTGGTGGTGAGAAGAGGAAGAAGAGGAAGAAGAAGAAGAAAAAGAATAAGAAGAAGAAGAAAATGATGATGATGGTGATGATGATGATGATGATGATGATGTGCTATCACCTGCAGATCCTACAGATGTTCTTACTGTTGGCATGTCTTGGGATGGATCCGCACAAACTATCGCAAAAAGGAGTGAGCGCTTTTGGAATTTGGCATTCACTGTAGCCTCATGTTCGCTTTTGTACACGGGCTGTCTGGGTTGACATAAAATATACATATATATATATATATATATGCTGTCCATCTGTCGATCTACCTACTTACCTATCTTACCTATCTAATCCAATCTATATATATATATATGTATATATGTGTGTGCACTACCAGGAGAGTATTACATATAGATACATATCTATATGCGAGTGTTGATAGTGTTGTGTGCAACGGTCCTTTGTTGGCTGCAATGTACATCAGCGGCATAGCTGTCAAGCTGGCCATCATCATAGGGGTGGAGCCAGCCTCTTCGGCAGCTGGCGTCGCTGCCGCAGGATTCGCAGGTTTCAGCTGCGCTGGCTGCGCTGGCTGCGCTGTGGCCGGCACTCCTAGCGTTGTAACACGCTTGAGAGAATCAACAAACTTGGCTGCTTGGTGGCTTCATGTGGCTTCATGTGGCTTCAACTTGTATCATCATTCCCCATGTTCCAATTTCAAAATGGTCAATAGTCATACTCAGCGAAAACACCAGCAGGGTGTCGCAAGCACAGGCCACTTCCGGCAGCTCCCCTCCTGTCTCTAAGGACTTGGGTGGACACACAAAGTTCAGGGCGCGGAAGGCCACTAACGCCAAGCTGATCCCCAGAAAAACCTGCTTCCTGCGGATGCGGATGCTGATGTCATGCCTGCGGTTTGGTTGGAGAGCTGGGGACCTGTGAGCCTGAGTTGTTGAGCTCATCTTTAAGTGATTCTAAGGGCAGGTTGTCAATGTCGGGTTAGTGATCAGCACAGCTCCATACAGTAAATGTCAATGGAGAATCTGTGATATCCTAAGCAAAACCAGTGACGTTGGGCAAAAGCATTGCCATCTGCACAAACAACATGGGCATGACAAAAACATTACAAAAACTGGTGGGGCTGTTCCTAGGCACATGGGTGAGGAGAAAGGATGATTTCACCTGCCAGGTGCAATAAACCTCGGGCTCAGTACAGCTACACTTAATGAGCCGAGTTAGCTGTAGTCAGCTTTGAAATTTACGGGTTCCCATGGGTTCCGTTCTTTCCTGACGCATCTCATCTTTCCTGATGCATCTCAAATGTCTAAGGTCCTGGGTTGTCGCTGGGCAATGAAGCGTGCAGCTGCGGTCCGCGCCATGGCAACAGCTGCGATCCTCTCCCAGCCACGACAGGAACTTTTGAGTCTTAAGACACTGCGGCACCGTGACGCTGCATGACGCAGCATTCCCTGCCTGAGGTGTTTCTTTAGGCCAATTCACTGAACAGTTCATGTCCAACCCACTGAAAAACGGCCAGTCATCCCGCGACATTCTGCCCATCCCCTGGAGTTTGATGGTACCTCAGGTATCATCCCAAAAAACTGACTGGGAGAACTTCGGAAAGAAGTTCACCAGTATCTCGCTTCAAAACTATCTTTATCAATTCTTTATCGATATGATGTATATATATATATAATTATAATATATATATATATATAATTATATATATATATATCATCCCAATTAGAGATGATCTACCCCAGTTACACCGCCGCACCTGCATCCCCGCCATCCGCAGGTCAGGCCGTAAGGGGTACAGCAAGCCGCCCAGCGGCGTACCCTGAGTGCGGGGGCAAAATACAACGGCCAAATATCAAAAAAAACATTAGGTAAATATCATCCTGTTATGGGTAATATATCGGTAAATTCATACCCACAGGAAACAGGAATGATATATATATATATGTATTATATATATAATTATGTGTGTGTGTGTTATGATTTTCTATGATGACATGCGGAAAACTGTACACCCCCCCAAAAGAGATTGTAGGATGATAGGATTGCCCGCCTCCAACTCCTTCGCGGGTCCCAGCGGTTCAGTGCCAAAGGCTAAGGCCTGGGTAGTCACTACATCTTCGACTTATCTGGTTTGGAAACATGTGCAACATTTTTAAAATGGGATTTCACTCACACCTGTGGGATATAAAGTAATCAACCTAATTGGTTTTGCACAAAAAGTGACACCCAAACTCCAGCGGAATATCATCACTTTTGCATTCAAAGGGCCATGGGTGCATCTCATACTTGAACAGACCATTTTGGAGGATACTCTAACTGGGATTCTATCCACCCTTAATGTCATCACAACATAAACCTGTCAAAAAAAAATATCGGAAACATTGGAACCACCAACCAACTCTGCTATGGTAATAATGGCCACACGCCAAAAACATTCATCAGAGGGCCAGTAAACTTGCATAAACTTGCTGTATACAAAATAATATTACAATATTAATCAATATTACAATATATATCAATATATTACATATATAAATTAATCAATATTATATATCAATATATTACATATATAAATTAATCAATATTATATATCAATATATTAAATATATAAATTAATCAATATTATATATCAATATATTACATATATAAATAAGTGTTTGATTGGTCATATATAAACCCCACTGAACAGTAGGCCATTGGATCTGATCATATCTGATCATCCCATTCTGGGACAAGGCCATTGCCAGGCCAGGCAACCTTCATCAACTGAAAGGCTTCAGGCTGCGACCTAGCCCAGTCACAAATCAACAAATTGCGTATCGGATCTTACCGGTTACTGTTTGGTGACACTTGGTGATGGTTGGCGATAGGTGGTGATAGTTGTAGTTAAGGTTGTTTCTCTATTTTCTCTTTCTCACGCTCATTTAACGATATCATTTATCATCATTTATCTCTTCCCTTTGGCCATGTCGGTGCTAAACTCCCCAAAAGATCTGTTTCACAAAATCCACAGATTGATCAAATGATCAGCAAAAGCCAATTCGTTCCAAAGGACGCCCAGTCAGTTGGCCAGTTCTTGTCTTCCAGTCTTTAAAATCCCAAGGGCCCAAGGGCAGCATTTTCTGGCCTCAAAACCTTCGTCATTGAGTCATTGATCATCCAAAATAGCAGGAACGCCGTCATCCAAACGTGCACTGCGTCTGAGCATATTTGAAACTACCAGTTTTCAGATGTTTTCAGCCATCCTCATCTCAAGATTTCCTCCGCGCCTCTGCTCAGATGTCTGGCTCTCCAACTGTTCCAACATCGATGGATCCAACAAACGACCCAAGATCCTTGGCGGCGAAAATGCGTGGCCGGTGATTTCGGCGAGAATGCGTGCAGAAAACTCGGGAATTTTGGCCAGTCAACTTGTGGGACGAGGTGTATTAGCTAGATAGATGGCTGCCTCTGTTGCCACATGCTACCCGTGTACATGAATGCCTACTGATTTACATGATAAATGTGGGTCTCCATATGTTTTGTTGCACCAATCCGAGAGGGTGAAGCTGTGGCATATGCTTCCAAGGGTCTGGTCACAAACTTCTGCGTGCATCGTCAGAGCGGATGTGGCCTAAAATAGACGCACAAGTGAGCCATTACCAAAAAATCCCATTATACTGGTTGGTCAATAGGTATCCCCATCATTAGCTTTTCATAATCCCGAACAGATTCGGTCATGGCAGTATAACCCCCACCAATCAACACCAGGCAGCCGTCAAACCATACTCTCCATCTCTCCTGGCAGGCTCACTGCAAGAATCTATGTGGTCCCTCATACGTAAACGAAAGTTTAAGATCTCAATAGCTATGTAGATCAATGCGGGATGTGTATGCACACACACATAATATATAATATATAAGTGTATATATATACACATGCATACACATAAATGCACGCATTCCATCATAGAATATACTATCACGTACTACACATATAATCAATGTTTTGATCAATATTCCCGTATTGAGCTGGTGATCGTGGCGGTTCCGATGCTGCCGATGCTGCGTCCTCTTCAACAGGTGTTCTTTTTCGGCGTCCAACAGGCGGAAGACGGGACCACCCAACAGGTGCAAAGCCACCGCCTTGGCCATGGCGAGGGCCAGTTGCCAAGGCGTTTTTTCAGCGAAAAAAACTGAAGAAACGTCTAGGGAATCCTTGGGATCTATAACATATTATACTGGTTGGTGGTTTCAACCCCTCTGAAAAAATATTAGTCAATGGGAAGGATTACAGTATCCCATATATTATGGAAAATAATTTTTTAAAAAAAACACCAACCAGTATAAAAATCCAATTTGGATTTTTGATTGGATGAAAGTTTAGCCATCCAAATCCGTTTGGGGGTTTTGTGTGCGCATTTTGTTTACCAATTCTAGGATGGACTGGCTATAGCCCTGAAATCAATTGAAATCAGGCAAACCGATAGTGCTAGTGACTGGTACAACCCAATCACTAGTGGCAGACGAATATGGTGCTGTCACCCACTTACCCACTTTCAAACCATTTGGCCAACATCAGGGATCATTCCTTCTCAATGGGTATCAGCCAGCCAAAATTGGGAACTGTCACCTGCAAAAGCATGCGAACGCTAGAATAAGGATGGCGACAAAGTACCAAGAATGGATGCACGAACCAACTCAAACAAGCATACTTCATACATGCTACTCACTATTCTAATAGTATAAGTACCGTCTGGCAGTGTGGCAATCAAACCAATGGAAAGTCCTTGATTTATCGATGATTTTCTGTCACATTCCCTGTCAACCTGGTGATTGCCCAGCTGGAATATATTGCCATGGGATAGTTGCTCGGCCCATCACTCTGGCTCTTTGACTTCCAGGGATTCAAATCTCACCAAAACGAAGTGCTGAGATTCTCCAGTTTCAATTGGAAAAAACATCACAAAAACTCGACTCCCAGTTCCATTGGTTCCTCAGTCGGAGGTGCCACATATTGCAGTGCCACCTTGAACTCCACTGGCTGCGCCCGGCTGCGGGACGCGTCCACCTGGCGCCCTCCCAAGAGACCGCTGGCGCAGAGCACGGCCCGGGAAGTGATCCTGAGAACGACAGGTTGGGTCAGTTGGGTCCATGGCCAAAATGGTGGGGGAAAGCATCAAACAGTAGGATTTTATGGAGATTTTCCAGGCATTGATGGGAATTTGGCCTTGGATTTTGATGATTTTCGGATATGTAATTTATCTGAAGTTGCTGGGGGTGAGGTTTGGCGGGTGTAGTCGATGTGCAACTGATGAGAGGGGTAAATGGTAAATCAAAATTACAATCTGGTAAACTAACATAACTATGGAAAATCACCATTTTCAATGGGAAAATCCACTATAAATGGCCATTTTCAATAGCTACGTTAGTCATTATTAGTGGTTTTAAATCAACAAGTTCATAGTTCATTGGGGTTGGGGTGAGGCTTGTGAAGATACAGCCGAATTGCAGGTCATCTCAGGTTCAACTTCACCAACCACTTGGGGCAACAGCGATGGATTCCAAGCGTCTCCAGGGTGGCCAGCACCCGTTGGCTGTACAAGTTACCTCAGGTCTTGCCATGGCCATTTTGGGGCGCTGGACATGGTCTACTTGAAATATATCCACTCATCTAATTCCAGAGTGGACTGGTGTTTAGGGCATCACATTTTCAATTGGAAGTCAAATATGTTTTAAAAAAAGTATTTTATGGTATATTGGCCCCTGTGGACAGTGACGTTTGTTGTCTGCCACCGTGGTAACGAGCTGCAATCGATGAGCCCTTCCTGCACGTGTTCCTTGGTAGCAGCTAAGAATGTCTTGGGGAAAGCTTCAGATGCCAACAGAGGGATGGCTGGTTCAAAGCTCGAGCTTAAAGGAATGACATCAAGCCCGAGCACGTGCTCCAGTCGTAAGGCTTAGGCGCAAAAGAGGAGAGCGTTACTACCAGTACCACAAACTTTCACAATCACATCATGAATCCCCTGACGCAGAAAGTTGGCACAATCGTGCAGTGCACAGTCAAAGAGTGTCGAGCAAGGCATGCAAGGCCCGGTACCAGCACGTTCGGATGGGAATACCAGCAGGCGACTCTCTAGACTTCATTGATTCACGAAAACACGTCCCATTTTTCATGCATTTTTGAGAGCTGAACATGTATACCTAGAGCAACCTCAGGCTAGAATTTGAGCCTGAATGTGTTTAGGCTTCTTTTTCTGCCTGACCCTGGAATTCTCGCCTGAATCTAAATTCCTGCCTGAAAGGGTTTTCTACATTTTTGCTCAAAATTTTTGTTCCCTAAACTGCTCAAAATCGTTTCCTCGCCAATTCTCGCCTGATTCCCGGGTATTCCCGCCTGATTCCCGGGTATTCCCGCCTGAATTGGAGAACACCAAAACACAAAAATATCTCTCAAAACAAGAGCTCACACATTGAGCCAAAACTGGCAATTCCAGCCTGAATGGACAATCTCGCCTGAATCGATGCTCAGGCTAAAAAGTAGCCCGAGTCCCAAAAAGGCTACTATTTGGTTTCAGGCCTAAATTTCTGCCCGTTGGAGGCGGCAGGTATATATTTTTACTGCTTCCTTCACGCCCACGCAGCTCTCGGGTAGCTGAGCAACGAGCAACGCATCAAATACCGTTGGAATCCATTGGAATCAAGGAAGATACCAAGTAAACTTAGAGGGGGAAATCTTATGGGAAGAGCCGCCCTCAAGAGCGTGGGTGAGAACCCCAAACCAACAGGCACCTTCAGACCAGGGGGAGAAGGAACCGAAAATCCCGCAACTTGAGAATCTGCGCAAAGGGGGAACTAAAGGCACACACTGCACGGTGCAAAATTATGAACCCCTATGTTAATCAAATATTGAAACATATTGAAACCCCTTCCTGCTGTTTGCCACAGTCTTTGCCCAGTTTCTAGGAGGGTCTTGCGGCGCAGGCGGCTCCATAAGATCTTGTCTACGCCCATCCGTTTGATGTCGGCTGCCCCCTTCCTTGCGTCCAAATTGGTCTCCATGTTTTTTTCGAACATCACAGTGGAAGTAGCACTGTTTGGGTCGCATGTGAGAATTTCCGTTGAAAAAATGGTATGAACGACTGGTTTAACACCGGATCCTCTATGTGTGCTTCCATTCAACGGATTAGAACAAACCTATGTGTATGCGGGTGTGATAGGATATTATCATATATTATCCTGAAATCCACTGGTTACTCATCCTTTTCCGTGTGAACTAATAGCCATAACTCGGGGGGGGAATCCACCAGGCACCTGTCGACTGAATCTTGACCAACCGTACCTCTGACTGGACAGGGCTCCAGTAAGAAACGGCGTGGTCATCAACAGTATCAATTATCAATCAGCCTCTGGTAAACTGAATTAAACTGACATAACTATTGAAAATCACCATTTTTAAATATTTTATAGCTGGGTAAATCAGCTATTTCGACTGGGCCATTTGCAATAGCAAACTGTTAGTCATTACCAGTACCGGGTAGCCTTATGAAGTACCAGAGGCCGGGTCACTGCACACGCGGATCCAATCCGCCAACATCATCATCAGAAGCGAAGAGCGGATTTCCTGTTGGAACTGGTGGAAAAACCCTGTGCTTTAACCAGGAAAAATATGGAAAAAATTGGGGATTTCGATAGTGGATTTTTTCTGGGACCCAAAATGGTCATCAAAAAGGATGGGAAATACCTGACCTATTTTTCATGAAGGCTCCATTTTTCTCCTGCAAGCCATCTTTGATTACCGGAGGGTAAGCAAGACTGATCTGTGGTTTCGAAATGTCCCCCAACATATTTGTCATTGATGCTCACTATCCTAAATGTGGCTTGTGGTTGACACACAACATAATCGAAAATGTGTGTTTGAAACCAACGATCAGGAATCCACTTGTGTGTTGTTGTCTCTGTCAGATTAGTGATTAGTGCAGCAAACTCCAAAATCCAAGATTGCAAAACTGGATATAAAACCGGCGCTTGTCAGCAATCTTCTGGATGGCAGTATTTCGAGCTATTGTCAAGACAACTCCAACCCTTGGCCTACAATTGGCATACAAATACCATGTCATTACACTGCACTACTGTAGCTCGGGCGATTCCAGAGGGTCCTACTCGCCTTAGCAACAATTTGCATGGCAGCAGACTTCACCAAATTACATTCATTTGCCCAAATCATCCCAAATCCTTCTAACCAACCATGGGGGTATGGCAAATCATCCCAAGCACAATCAACTACTAATTACTCACATTTCCATAATGTTTGGATATCTTGCAGCTCCTTATGTATTCCATTTGGATACATTTGGCAGTACCAGTAAGACCCACGCTTCAACGGATCACAGAAGTTGACAACGACATTCCCCACGAGATAGGCCATTGCACAAATATCCGAAACGAACGTTTTCCACGTTTGTTGCTGGTATTTCCCCCTGACCATAAACCTACGGCAACCCCAATTTATGTAGTTGTTTTCTTAATCATGTTCAAACAAAGCTACTTTCCACCATGTGATGGGGGAATTCAATGGATATAACCCCTATAACTAACCTTATACTTATGGCCATTTGAATCAGGAAAATGAGTCATTCCCCAGTCATATCCGCAGCCATGGTTCTGGGTTCCAAGAGCTGCTGGTCGCTGGCTGACTGGCCATTGGCCAGTAGCTCTAGCTTGGGATGTCGCTGGCCTGTCCAACGGTGAAAGTGGGGTGCAAAATATGTATGGAAATTAACATGTTCCAAAAAAGAACTGGGATATCTTTGGATTTAACTGTTTTCACTCAAACAGAATTCGAATTCGATCAAGGGAAACAATATGGAATTCATATGAATTAATCAACAGAAGCGGGGTTGAAGTCAAAACAATACAGCAGGGAGATTGACCAATATGTTTTTCTACAGCCAAGAAAATACAGCGGGTCGTCGTCCGTGGTACTCAGCCCCAGCCGGTGTCAAAAATCCACGTGTGTTTCCTTCTTAAACGAGAAATCAGAACAAGGTCAACTGTTGATCCATTGTCATATAACGGTATACAGTATACATATACTGTCCACATATCTAGTTTATCTATTGATATTGGTTCATTGATAGTTATGTGTATCTCTTTCTCTCTCTCTAAATGTATATACACATAATATGTTTAACATAACGCTACATACAACGATGACATTCTAGTGCTTAAAAAATAGAACTCCCCAGATCTGTGCCACTGTCAAGGCGCCACGCGTCTCGCCCTCCAAGGGCGTGTAACCGTATTTGATGGCCTTGGGAACAGGACCAGGGCTGACCGTTGCAGGGTGGTTTTTGGTAACCCCCAACAAGAACTTGAAAAGTGTTTCCAGGATGTTATGTATAAATGATGTTTCCTGCATAGTTTCAATATGTTCTTTTATATATATAATCTTATATAGTTGTTCTTTTTGGGTTTCTATGATTCAAGATCATGAGTTATGATATGTGAGCATAATATGAGTCCGTTTTGAGTCTTTTAATATAATGGGTGAAAGAAAAGTTTGAAACTTGGCGATGAATCAAACATTAAGAAGTCAAAATCGTTCTTAATATGTTCTAATATTCATCCTGAAGCAATGTCAAAGTGCCAATCTTGAAAACGATGCATCCCCGCCCAGCGGCATAGTCATCGTATCGCCCAGGACTGCCCAAGAAATGGCCTCCGAATACCGGAGCCTCTGGATCCCTAGGCTGTGCGCATCAATGATAGGCTCTGCGAATCAAACATGGTTTGCCTGAAAATGCTCCGTTTAGATCGTTTAGTTGGATGATGCTCCTATTAAAACCTCCATTTATAGGGGATTCCATTGCCAGGTTTGATTACCAAGGGTAAATGGGGTGATTACTACCGACAAGGGGAAGGAGTTGATTGGGGTCACAATGAGGCCCAGGTGGTAGAAAAAAAACACCATTGCAGGAGATCTGGTTGGAGGCAAGGGCCCTCCAAAGCGCTGAGACTGAGAAGAACTGATTACTCTCTGAAGGGGTTAGGTGCTATTGTGCCAGTATGTGCCAAAGAAATTTCGAGAATGCCCATGGAAAACATATGCTTGGCTTTGTATTGCTTTGTCACTACCATGCTATAACCATGCTATATAGATCATTTATAGATCTATAACCATGCTTAAACCTCATGGCACCATTCTCTGACAACGCCAGGGATCGTAGTATCCAAATCATCCGGGTAATCCATGACCTCCGTAGGCAAAACACAACGAGGCGGTGTGTAAGGCCACCCAACACGTCAGTGATTTGTAAGACAGGTGCTTAATTGCGAAAGAGGAACCTCTTAATCAGGGAATGATGGAAATATGAAATTGCCATTGTTTGAGACTGCGGATGCCTGTCAAATATGCTTTTCTAAGTATAGTAAGTAGGCCCGCTCTTTTGTACTTAGTATCGGTCTTTGGTAATTGGGCAGTACATTTAAGGATCATTAAGGTAGATCTCTAATTCCAAAGCTTTTCAACTCAAACGTTCCAGGAAGTTGTCGCTGTCCCTCTTGCCTTGCGTTCTTTTATTAATTTTTATTACTTGTCCATATGAGTAGGACTCAGCCAGGGCACAGAGGACCGCCCATCCTCTGCGGCAATGAAGTTGTGGCGAAGCCCCAGTGTGTGGCCCACCTGCCACTGGAGGTCACCCAAATGTGACACCCATGTAGGACTGTGGCCACTGGAATCCGTTCGGCTCCAATTTCAAGAGCTCAAACATTTCCCATCTTCACAAGGATGCACTGTCAACGGCTGGGGGAATGAATCACCAGCCGCAAGTTGCAAGGGAGTTCGGCCATAGCAGTTCCAAATAGTTCCAATGCTTTAAGGGGTTACGATCTTTGACCCATGCCCCTTCCCCTGGCACGGGCCTCGTGCACCGTGGTTTCCAACAAACACTTCAACACGTCAGGGTCATCTGCGTCTAGCAGGCGCTGACACCAACGGCCTCCATCCTGGGTGATCCGGACATTTGTTGATGAATGTTCCCCCAGAACATGGTGCTATATGGTGCTTGAATCGTCTTGAATCCCCATGATTCCCGATGATTCCTGGTGAAATCCTCATATCCTCCCCCGCTAACTAGTGATTTGGGATCACTGTTGCTAGTCAAGATCCTTCTGCTTCAAGAGGGGTTCCTGCACTGCGGTGAGCCAGACGAGGAATGCTGCAATGCTAGGCTAAGTCGGCTAGGTGAAGTTGGTCTCCCTGAAGTCCACCAAAATACAGGAAACGGACTCTCTCTCTCCCTCTCTCGCTCTCTAAGCTGACTGTCTGACAATTTTGGACCATATGATAACTTTACTCAGCAGGAGTGAATATATATATATATGTGATATATATATATACCTGCTAAACCTGTTTTGCTACAATTCCGGGTGCGAATCAAAATACAGATTGTATCTGGGTAGTGCTACCTGAATTCAGATCATGCTGGCCAAAAATCCGTACATACGTGTAAAAACCCGTGGGCATCCGTTCGAAGCCGTTTTGGCCATTTTCACCACTTTTCAATGAATATGGAAGATCCATCCTTTCTTTGGGTTAAACAGTTGAAATATCATGAAGGTTAACTCCCCATACTTGCACTCACTACACCATGTTGTTTCAAATCCTCTTCAAGCACAGGGATTTCCAACCATCCAATTATTTTGAGACCTACTTTGAAAATCAAATGGTCACCCTCGCCTGTTGCCTGCTGACTCTGCGCGCCTTTTGCCCACTTGCACTTTCAGGCCAGGTCTCGGGACATGGTTGCTGGAGGAGTGTGGAAAGCCCCACAAATGAACACATATACATTTTTGGTTTCAACACCCCATTGTCAAGTCTTGGGGGTTATATTTTTTGATGATCCAATGTTGGTTGCCATAGCCAGCTGCATGTCGTAATGCCGCTCCTGCCGCAGAGCAGCGTCTTTGGCTGGTAGGGTGCTTCTGGGGTTCCATCGCCGCGTTTGGCCATGGAGGAGAGTTTGGAAGCGGCTAAGAAGGACTACAGCAAGGGAACCTCCAAAACTATTTTCGACATTTCTGGGCTTGCTCTCAAATGGGATGATTCCTCGGTGATTCGCCAAAGGATGAGGAATGACTTCAATCTTTGCGTTCACTATGACTCAAAAACTAAGAAAGAGACAAATTTTGCAGTTGCAAGGAATGTGAAGAATCTCAAAGCCAATCAGGCAGTGATGGTACCAGTCCTTCACATCATACGATCTTCGGGCTGCATCATTAACATAGACAGGCTCGCCATGGAAGTGACGAAGGTGTACAAATTGAATGACAAGGCCATCATCACTAAAACAGCCATGGACCAGGCTTGGTCAATTCGGCACCTGGTAGGTGTTCTCAGAAGAACCATCCGAACGGACAAGCATGACAAGTCCAAGAAAATCTTGCCTAAGGACTTTGGTTTTAAAAAAATGGTGAGGTCTAGTGTAGTCAGGGTCCCTTATGGTATTCGGGTTTTATACATGAATGTATTTTTCTACATAGCTCCAAAACGGTGGGTCCTTGGAACTCAAGCATCCCTTGAATCTCTGCCCCCCGCACTCCTCAGGACCCGAAGTTGCTTGAGATGTTGGAAGACCTTGGCGTCATCGAAAAGAAGGAGGGCTGTGTCAAGGAATGACAGTCGTGTTTCAGCACAGTGTCCCAGCAGAACTGTCCTTTAATCCTTTAGATTTTCTTCATCTTCAGTCCCACATGGATCGAGATGAATCCAACATAATCTAACATTTCATGATGTCTTTCAGCAATCCTTATCATCTCTCAAAACTGAAAACCAGTTTCATTTTTCCTTGATAAGTGCCACATATCTACCATAGCCATAGTATAATTCAGAGTTGATTTCCATCCTATCTGAATCACTGCTGCAGGAGGATGGAACTTTTACCATTCTTTCTCAGCAGCTCGAGTTGCTTGAGGATATGGGCTAAATTGGGTTGCCATGGACATGGGAAAACATGTCAATCTGATATTTGTTGGGTCTTTACCATTCCAAATTGCGCAAAAAATGTTGCAGTAAGAAAATATTGCAATCTTTAAGATCCACCTAGGGTCTACTTGGATACCTTAACATGATTCCTTGGCGCTTGAGATTCCACAGAGTCTATGTTTCCATGACACCAAAACTTCAACTATAATTGTCAGGGCCTCAACCCATATGACTGCTCATGTCTCAGAAGGACCAGGAGGCCGACGAGAACAAGTCGCTCCCGCTGGAAGATGATGTGGAGACACCAAAGGAGACAGCTGGATTTGAATCTGAAATTTGTAGGTTCACCCTGAGGGACTGTCATCAAAGTATACATTTTACTTTGGTTCCTCTCCAGCTGTATGTCCTACTCCATCTTAGAAAAATGTTGACAAACCTGAGGCTGAAGTCAAATGATGATGATCATAAAATTACCCAGTACAATTATATACGTTTTTGTAGTGGGGCATGATACATGAGATCCCAAGCCTCCCAAGAACACTGGCACATCTTCTTGTCCTAAAGTTCATATCTGTGCTTTTGCGCAATACGCCCAGGAGGCATCCAGTGGTGCTGCGGCTGCATTGGAGGACTCAAAGTACAAGGGGGATCTAAACGTCAGGTTGGGCACTTCATGTTCCCAAGGATGTGCAAACAATCTCAACCTCATGAGAAATACCATTGTCCAAGTTGCTGCGTGTGGATTCTCCCTTCCACCAACTCTTCGATGATGATGTGGCCTCCCCGGAAAGCTTTCGAGACTGAGTTATCAGAAAGGTTTACAAGTTGGAAGAGTTGAATCTGCATAGTCCCCCTCCCCATTTCAGTGTCTTAAGTAGGAGTCTGTCCCATATATATTCTAGTCATGATTTATGATCATTCATGGTTCATATGCTGTATACATTTCATACTGCCCCCGCGGTTGCAGGACTGTCAGGTTCTGGGTTCTGATGATGATAGCCAGGAGGACTTGGCGTTTGAACTGGCTGGGCTAGTGATGGATCTGAAGAAGATCCCTGGTGGCCAGTTATGCTTCATTTCATGGGACTTTTGGACCAGTTGTTGGATGATCTATTAAAAAAAAAAAAAACATTTGTTGCTTATGGGAAACAGGTTCTGGAACAGCGTGTGCTATCAATACAATTTCTGTAGGAGAGAATGGACACTGTTTTCAAACTTTCAAACCGTTTGGCACAAATGCCGAATCCCAGGAAAAATGCAGCCCTTGAATATGCACCAGCACTTTCGAAACTATTGAGGTTGCCTTCTGATCACGAGGGCCGAGTCTTGGCAGCGTGTTCAATCAGGGAACCTGTAAATTAGATTTTTGTTTGCTCATTAGGATCCCCATGTCTCCTGTGCTTCAATGTAAGGACTGATGCCTATCACCGTTTTGGAGTCCCTACCATTTGGTGAAGATCAAGATTCTACTTTAGTGCAATCGAATCCTGAAGATTGGATTACCTCACCTTTTATACTGGATCTCTTGGACAGAGAAGGTTCATCAGCTTCATCTTCTACAGCTTCCTCTGCCAAAGCTGATGTACCCCCCGCTTTGCCTCCACAAGAGCTCCCGAGTTCAGATCCTGTGCCAGCGCCAGAAGTGAAGGGGATCAACCAGAGTTTCAAAACAATGGTGGCACAACAAGCTTCTCCGGCAAAGGGCTTGTTGACCAATCAAGACACCCCAAAGATGGTTGAGACTACGGAAGCTACCAAACAAGTAGCGCATGTGGTTGAGGAATCTTCCACGGAGTTATCTTCAGCCATCATGGATGAGGTTTTTGGGTTCCAAAGTTTGCACATGGTTGTTTGGTAATGATATCTTTTCACCGGATCAACTCAGGGATACCGGATATTTGGGACCCTTTTGAATTTCAAGCATCATGGACAAATAAACTGAAACAATTGTTTATCTGTTTTGAAATGAAATGTCATCATTGTTTGCAAATGTTTGCCCAATAAATATGGTTCCAATCTATAGCTTCCAACCTGGATCTGCACAAGGATTACGGCATATTATGGCTAGAATTTTTAAAACGAAATGTTTCTTGGTTTTTTAGAGCTTCTTCCAATTAAACCCAGGTATAACCATCATGTCTTCAGCCCTGCAGGATCCGCAAGCTGTCCGTGAGAGCCAAGAGTTCCCAGAGGTGTCAGATGACTCTTATGTCACTAGACGGGACCAACTAGGACTGAAGGCAACAAAGAAAACAGAAGGGAAGGG